CAGTCTTTTATTTATAGATGAATGTAGTACAAGGTACAAGAAATTACTGGGATGCCCCTGATTAGTGATGAGACACCCAGATGACTTAAATCATTAAACAGGATTAGGCCCATTAACACAGGCCCAGTTACAAGATAAGTTAAACATAAGAATGGGCTAATAAGAACTCTTATCAGCCGAACATCACTCTAACATTCTAACATTAATCAAGCAACAAAGAAGTACAAGAACACTAGGGGGGGGGTGTATTCAAATGAATGCCCCATTCCCAAAGAGCAAGATTTTATTAACATGGGCAAGGCATATGTACATTTACATAAATGCCCTATTACCCTTATTAGGAGGGCAATGTAAAGAAATAAGAATTACAAGCAAAAAACATAAGAAATGCATGATATCTTATATACAAGCTACTGTAATGCAGTAGGACAACTAGGACTGTCTACACTAGGTACGGAATGTAAATCACCACAATCCATTAATAAAACTGATTATTAGCTCAACAACCTATTGATTTATTTTAGGAAGGAGACTGATAGACAATGTTTGTTTCAGGAGTAGGAGACCTAAGGGAAAATCATCCCGTAGCAACTTATATGTGTACCATAAAAGCTAGAATCTTATATTTTCTCACAAGTTTTCTAATGTCTGCATTCATGTTACAGAAAAATCATATTTTTACATCAGGAGCATCAGGGACAAATGCTGCTGTTATTAGAGGTGCTTTAAGAGCTGAGAAACCAGAGTTACTTACTGTAATCTTACCTCAAAGTCTTAAAAGGCAACCCCCTGAGAGTCAGGAGTTACTTTCTAAGGTAATTTGTATTCTCGATTTTTGCTTGATGTCAAATTATGCTTTAAAACTAGTGCTTATTCTTTTCATCATATCAGCCTGATGTATTTGTTCAAGAAACAAGAGTTTGTATGTGGTGAATGATATATGTGATGAGATTGTTATTAATATTGTACTCTAAAATGATATAACATTAAATTTGCACCAAGTTTTAGAACCTGGAAATCAATTGTTTATTGGTGGTTTGTGAACCATTTCATTTGGTTGTTCAACTGTAATTTTACAAAAAATGCATCATAGGGGAAATATGTGAAAATAGGGAAGATGTATGAAAAGATAAAAAAAGAATGCAAAACCTCTGATCTGGTTATTTGGATGGTTTATTGACCAGATTTCAGGTTTTCAATGCATGGGCAATTCAGGATAGAGCCAATTCAGCAACCTTGTTTTTAAAACATTGACTATTTCTACCCTAAGCATGGCAAGCAAGGCACTCAAAAAAATAAGGAAAAGGTGAAAAATCTTCTTTCCTGAAATTGCCATGTCTTCATTTCTCTCTCTGTGAACAATTGCAAATTAAGAGGATAAAAATATATTTCTTTTTTATGCAAAAGCACAGAGGTAGGGAGGGAGAGCCTAACAACCTTGTTTCCTCGAAGGGTCTGGATTTGTATCGATTATTGACAGTATTATTAGTAGGACATGCTATCATATTTATATAATTTCTTTTCACCATTTATGTCATTTTCCTATTAGTTTATGCAATTTATTTTTTACTTAATCTTTTTTGTTCCAATAGACTTGTAGAGATGCAATTCCAGGTCATTAAAAAACATTGTAGGTTCTAAAATGAGTATATAACCAATAACCGTACAGCCATGATAGTCTGTCACAAATCAGTGTTACCTGTAACCTTAAATCCAAGGGTTTGTCAAAGCATGCAAGTTGACATGTACTCATCTAAAGTAATGTAAGAAGCACTGAAGAGTCAGTTACTGGATCATCAAACCCTGTAAGGAGCTTTCCTTCAAAGGAAATTTGGTGTCAGCCTGTACCCCCAAAAATTTGGGCTTTTTGTTGGGAGGTGGTTATCCAAAAAATCAATACTCTGGATATGTTGCAAAGAAAAAGGCCAAATGTTTGCCTATCATCCCATGTTTGTAGCCTCTGCTTGGGATCTGGTGAGACGATCACACACCTATTAATTTCTTGTCCATTTGTATGCTTTATTTGGACATGGTTCTCTTCTATCTTTGGTTGTAGGTGGACACCTCCCCCAGATGTGGCAAGCCTTTTTAACCTAAGCTTTTTTAGGCAACCGAGGAGACATGGAAGATTAATGTGGAGAGCCACAAGAGCAGCTATCTTATGGTCAGTTTGGGAAGAAAGGAATAATAGAATTTTAAAGGAGTGGAGAAATCCAAGGAGGCAATTGTAGAAAGGATAATTATTATGACTATTCAATGGTTGAAAACTTTGGATTTGTTTAAAGACTTCTCAGTTGAAGACATTTATAGGAATTGGGAAGTGGTGGCTCCTACAACTTCCATGAAACCTATTGTGCAGGAATTGTGGTCCCCACCAACACAACAAAGAGTGAAATTGAACTTTGATGGGAGTTCAAGAGGTAACCCAGGCCCTTCAGGTATAGGAGGAGTATTCAGAGATGAAAATGGCAGAATTTTGGCTTTGTTTTCAGGACCAATAGGAGTGAGGGACTCGTTGAGAGGGGAGGTGATGGCCTTGCTTCAAGGTGTAAGATATGCAAAATAGTTGGGGTTACACCAAATTGAGATAGAGGGAGACTTTAAATTGTTGATTGAGTGGCTGCAATCTAGTAAGTTGTGAGCATGGATTTATAGACAGCCCATAAGGGAAATCCTCAACATAATAAGGGAGATCGGTGCATGCTTCAAATGGACAAGGAGATCAGCTAATGGTTTAGCTGACACGTTGGCTAAACAAGGGACTGTGAGGGAGAGTATGTTCTGGGCAGTTTTGTAAGAAAGATTACCGGGGGCTCAAAACCTACCTAGGGGTTGACAGCTGTACTTAAATCTGGAAAGTTATTCTAAGTTATATTAATGAAGTTACCGTTTCCAATAAAAAAAAGTCAGTTACTGGATCGAAGAGTCTTATGAGTTAGTGGTCAAGTTTATATGTTTAGAATGTTGGGGCTATTTAGTAGGGATGGTTACTTATTTTCAGCCAACATTCGGATAATGCTTAGTCATTGGAAGGAGTCTGGCTTTTTTATTATTGTATTTTTAGTTTGTAAGGAGTCTGCTTAAAATATTAGTTTGTTACTAATAAGATGTGCTTTTTTTATCATTCTTGATTTCTCTTGAGGACAGTTTTACCTCTCAAACAAAGCGTCTCTCTCACTCTCTCATCCTCATCCTTACTGTTACCAATATCAAGACTCTTTTTCTCTTCATGGCACTTCACCATAGCTAAGAAGGGAAAGATAAATGTGTCTCACCCCAATCAATGCAGCAGGCTTGCAGCAGTAGTTTGGTATTAGAGTCGGGCCACAAGGGTCTCTAGTTGGATAGATACTATTAACTTTATGCCATCCATAGACAACAAAGAAATGCCCGCCTTAAGTCACAGTGGTTTAGAAATGGCAGTCTTACCTCTTGGGGTGGCCTTTCATTGTAAGAACTTACCAAAGTTTCAAATATTTGTGGAAGCAAAAAAATCACCATGATGATTCACCAACCCAACCCTTGAGGTAAAGTTATTTATTTATTTTTTTTTTGGGGGGGGATGTTTGCAAAATCAAATCATGCAAGTTTAGCTGCTCTCTTGATTTTAGAATGTTGCTATTTAGTAGGGATGGTTATGTATTTTTAGCCTATGTTCAGGTCATGCTAAGTTAGTCATTTTAAGAGTTGCCTGTGTTTGGCTCAGCAAGACAAGAAAATATGGACTTGCAGACACTTGACATGTCTATGGAAAAACATATACCATTAAAGGAATTCATATGTTTTAAATATATATCCACAAAAATGTTGTTTTTGTCACTAAATAACATTTTATATGAAAAGTGATGTTCATATTGCACATTAGGTATTAAGCTAGGAGATAAAAAGGAAATAATACGTATATGTGCCCTTAAGAATCCGTAGTCTCAACTCTGATGCTGTAATCATCCATTTAGGAGTCCATACAACACTGTTTAAAAGACGAAGTTGGTTATTAATGAGATGAGATGTTTGTAACACTTGATTTCTCTCAAGGATGATTTATCTCTCTCTCATTCATTCTGTCACCAATCCATCAAGATTCTTTTTCTCTTTGTAGCATTTCACCATGCTAATAAGGGGGAAGGTAAGGTTGTTTCCATAACGCTGCTTGACATGTGTTCTGGCATGGGAAACCTATTGCAGAAGTATCAAACTGCCAGAGAGTACATTAAAATCTATCTTGTTTGATGCAAATTACCAAATAAGGCCAGGAGGGGTGGGGGGTAGTGCAAGAAGAAGCTAAAATTAAAATACCTATTCAAGTTATGGTGAAAAAGAATCATTAGAATCTACTTTACATTATGAAGTCTGGGATGATGTTATGTGTGGAGCCTAACATTTTATTCTTTTTTATTTTTGTGATTTCAGGTAAAGAATGTAATAGAGAAACCACACAATGATCATCTTCCATTGATAGAAGCAAGCAGGTTTGTGGAAACTCCTTTTTCATTGTCATTATTCTTGTAATGTTCCTCATATCTTGGTTGAGAACCTTTCTTTCTCATACCAACTTGTGCGTCAATGGAAAACTTACTGCTTTTTCTTTTTTATTAGCATTAGTAACAATAAAGTTGCTTTTTTTCTTTATAAAAAAAGTCTTTTTGTCATTAGATTCAAAATTTTGGCTCAGTAATTGAGTCTTTATATTCAAGTAATGCCTGAATCAGTAGGTATGCTATGTCAACTCATGTGAATGGTGGGCCAAAGAAGTGAGAGGCTGAGAGAACCTAAATTTGTTAACCATTTTCTGGGTTCTTTTGAGTATTTGGTTTAGAAAATTTTCCGAAGGCAATATCATCCTTACATCATAATATAATTGTTCCATTGTCAAGCCAATTTCAGGGACAAATGCATCCCAATGACTGAAGAATAACGTTGAAGAAAGAAAAATGCAAATGAACATGTCAAAACTGGGATTTGTACTGCTTTTCTTCCATAGAGGTAATGTTGCAAAAGTGTGAAATTCAATGGGCCCCACTTTCTCCTTTAAAGAGTAGACATAAATTAAATGCTTATGAACAGTTTATCTATGTCATGGTCTACTTTTGGGTTTTCCTCCATTGTATTTCATGTTATACTCAGCCCCGAGAGTGCATATAATGGCTTGTGCTGAAAAAAAAAGTTTTTTTTTTTTTTCAATAATCAAATAGTGGACAAGGATGTTTCTTTTTTCTTCTCATTTCTTTTGGGGTCCAAACTTAAGTGGTATTTTGTATGCTGGCTGTACTAGATGTTTGTGATTGCCCTTTCTTTCAAATTGACATTAAATCCTTAGTCCCTGGGATGTTTATTCTCTAGACTTTTCTTGTAGCTACATCAGTGTTTTCAACCCAACCCGCCGTTGATCCGGCCAGTTGAACTGTTTGACCTGTCACCTGGCAATGATTCCGGACAGAGAGACAGTGTTTATTTGCTTTCTATATTTTTTTAGTTTATTGCCTCCGAGTTTTTCATTTTCTTTCTCCCCAAGGAATTTTTCTTCTTTCTGTGATGGATCAATGACAGGCTGTGTAACATGGACATCATCTCCCAAGTACAACAGGTCATTTGCTTTGCTTTCCATGACAGCAAGTTGCTAATGGAGACGTGTCAAGAAGCAAAAAACATGAGGAAGATAGTGACACTCTTCTACTTGGATTGAAAGAAAGACGGAGAGACGGACGGACATCTTTTCTTCTAAAAGCGTGCTTATTTTTTGTGGATTGGATTGGGGAATCCATAGCAGAAGGAAAAAAATTGTTCGTCTTTGTTTCTAAGTTAGCTTATGGTATAAAGCTAGAGCTTCCATTTATTCATCGTTTCCAACATCATCGATTGATTGGAGGGGGGGGGTGCATTTGTTATTGATGTTGATTTTGAGAATGAAAAAGAAAATATGGTAGATTATACTTGTTACGGTTCAGCTCAAATGGGTGTTTTCCCCACCTCACCTCACGCAAAAAATATTATTTTATTGTAATTATCATATTATTTATGAATAAGATGTATTAGTGGCTTGGAATTTTGAGTATGACCATTGAATGGAACTGGCCCATGTACAGGAGATAATAAAGGGCCCATTTGGTGCATCTTTTTGGGAAGATCTTCTGGTGGTTCTAACAGTCAAAAGATGCATTGAGTTTTTGCATGAAGATTTTAGCAGTCCGAAGCATGTTTGATAGATGTATATTTTTTCGTGCGTCTTTCTATGTCTTTTTGCATGAGAATAAAATGCAAAAAACGTAAAAAGTTTCATTTGGAGCTTTCCAAAATTAGCCCAAAATGGGTTTTTTGCGTCTTTTTGGTGTTTCGGTTTTTGGTGCCTAGGTCTTCTTCACACCAAATGGAAATAAGCTGAAAATCGGTTTGCCCGGCTTGTAAACAGTCAAAAGATTGTGCGGAAAGATGTGCCAAATGGGCCTAAAAGCTTCCCAACTCCTACGAACTTTGGACAATTGCATTCTTCTAACCATCAAATAAATGGATATTTTAGGCTCAATTTGGAAGGAGTACAAATGTAAATATGTAGATTGCAAAACCTTATGCTTTGTATTAGGGAAAATTTCTGATTAATACCCTTTACTTTGGGCCTACTGCCACTTTGGTCCCCAAATTTTAAAATGCAATAATTTAGTATCTAAACTTTTAAAGCGTGACAATCCAATGCCTACATTTAAAAAAAGACACAAATGCCCTTTAAGTGTTATTTAATTTTCTTTATCAACCATCTAAGCGTTGACAAAAAACTAAATGACATTCAAAGGACATTTGTGTCTTTTTCAAATGCCACTTAGTGGTTGGTTAACAACTAGTTAACGGTAGGTATTGGATTGTCATGTTTTGAAAATTTCGTTATTAAATTGTCACATTTTAAAGTTTGGGACCAAAGTGGCATTAGGCCTAAAGTATAGGGTACTAATAGGGAGTTTTCATAATAATAATAATAATAAAAGCAGAAAAAAGGGATAATGATGGTTCAACCCAGAGTCAGAATTTGTAAGCCCAAATTACAGTTGAGGTAGGTGCCAACTTGAAATTAATGCCAATTCACGGGTGGGCATTGGTGTATAGAATGAGAATTTTTAATATTTTGAATGTTTATAAATTGTAGTGCAATTCAGAAATCTGCATTGGGCCTGTTCTTAATTCTCCGGAAATAGGGAGCTCGGGTTCTCAGTAGGGAGCTCGCTCTTAATAGAGCGGTCTGGAGTTCGGGCTCGGTAGTGAGCTTGGACTTGCTTCCGATGTTCGCTTCGGGCGCTCTATTGTTCCGAGTTGCTTGCCTTTGCCACGTGTCGGGCGATTGCGAGGTCGGGCCAAGTTTCCCTTCATCAATTGCCCCCCACTCCCTGCGACAAGGGTCCTGTCTTGGTGCGGGGAGTTCGTAAGGTAGCAGGAGGGTTTTGGTCCGTGCTGAGGGCGCTCGATTTAATTTGATTTTCAAAAAAGGGCATGCGTTTGGGAGACGTGACGGCAGTCGTTTGAGAGTTGGGCTGCAGACGCTTTTATTGCGAGGAGACGTGCGCCGACACCCCGTCAGTTTCGAGAAGGTGCGTGCTGACACCCGTCCTCTGACAGGACGTGCGCGACGCTCCGTCAGTTTCGGAAAGACGTGCGCTGACT